TTCTATCGTTGACTATTCGAGCAACTACTTTGCCCTAACCGAAGACAACGTTCCAAAGTAAGAGTTTTGTGTCAACAATAATAGGCAAACTTGCACTTCTTATTTTCGTGCAGGTCGTCAGTCGTAAGTGTAGGCAGTTTTGTGCACCCGCTTCTCGCCCATACCTAGCGTACGCCTGGGTTGCCGCAGGATACGCTGACGACCATCCGGGACCATTTTCAACGTCAACTGAATACACTTTCAACGGGGGAGATGTGGTTGGCGCTTGCCAAGGAAAAAGTACTGCTCTTCTTTGGCATTCGTGAGGTGCAGTTGGTGTGGCGAACGTTGTACCACGCTTGCTGATAAAATGTTTGCAATAAATAGTAAGTTTTACACATCAGACAAATCTTGGGTAATCCATATTCTGCTCTGCGAGGGTTGTCAAGTCTAGTGATCACAAGAGCGAATCATTGATTCTCGATATCGGCGCCAGTACGCGCTGTGTTAGCGGTACAATTCATCTAGTCAATATCAGTAAAATTTAACTTGTAGAGTCCCAACTCAAAGTCCTACACATCGCTATTCACTACACCATCCGTGGCTGCCAGTAGCTCAACCGTAAACAGCGTCTATGAAACTTTCTCGCACTTTTCAACATGTGGCTCAACAACACCCCTTTTTGGTTAAGATTCACGTCATTTTTAATGCGCAGTCGGCTGGCGCTTTCTACCGTGCGGACGGTCGACGCCATGAATGAAATAAACGTCGCTCAGTGGGTTGAAGCTGCATTTTCTGACGAAATCGTTTCATTCTTTTTTTGGCATTCAGATGGCATTCAGAAGGCCATTTAGCGGAAATGGACCATAGTTCTGTACTCACTGATAATGCCCCTACGTCATGCCAGAAACCATTTTCAAGAAGTGTCCCACCCCCCGAAAGACCTCCTTCGTAAGAGAAACGTCATCATGAAGTCCAAGAGCACGTCAATCGTCTTGTGTTTTGGAGGCAAATGAATATACTACTCTTTCCGAATAAGGGAAAACACCGTAGGGAACTGGAATCCAGGTTTTTGAGTAAACTGGTGAAGTACGTTTGCTTATTAATTTTCTTGCAATAGAGATGTACACTCTCATCGTTGGCGTCAACATTATTCAAAAAAACTATTCCGATTGTGTCCTCCATGAGTTCCGCTTTCTCTTTATCCGACATGACTGTAGTACCATCATGTCTAGTTGGAAAGACATAATTTTTCTCTCACTTTGATTTTAGCACTGATTAACTCTTCACTGCTATCGCTTTCTATGGCTTTTTCCCCACAAGACAGTTGTACCTGAATAATCTTTTTTCAGGTACAGAGTTTATTTTTCTGTGCGAATTTCAGTCTTTTGAACTGCTCCTGATCATGGCTTGTTTATAGACCATGTCTATTATCAAAAGTAGATTCATTATTCCGGTGATTCATGATTGCCATCTTTCTGGTATCGTGCTGACTCCGGGTCTGAAAATGTCTTCATCTTTTGAGACAATCCTGTTATCCACCCATGTTCNTTCGGCATTCCGGAAGCGTATATCTGCCAAATTGACTTGCATGGACCGCAATAGGTGGTAATCAGAATGAGCAAGTTCCGGAGAGTATGCGGGCTGAACAAGCTGATCCCGTCCAACAACTGCAATTTTTTAAAGGACATTCTTCGCAAAATGTGGTGTGGCATATTCGTGATGGAACAGCACCTCATGATATTTCTTGCGATTAAGGTGAGCTTTTAGGTGAGAGCATCCTACAAACTGTCAAGTTGGTGTTCGTAGCGGTCAGCAGTAACAGTTTCGTTCGGGCTCAGCAGCTCATAGTACAAAACACCCTTTTGATCTCACCACCAAATGCACGCACAGTATTACTTTTTGGCAATAAACATTCCGCTTTCGTTGCAAGCTCTCAAGTGAAGAGCAACTATCTCAGCAGGTTCGTTCAGATGGAGATTGTCTTCCATAGAAGCATCCGGTGGGCATCAATGCCAGTTTTCTTGAAATCAAACAGGGAAGGCCCCCGGGGAAACGGTTCATCACGTTCCATTACCAATCAATCCGAGAGCAACAGGATTTTGGGGCAAGTCTGTTCTGTCTGTCCTTAAGTAGGTAGCCAATACTCTACCTTACAGAACATGACAGGTTTCACCGGTAAACCTCTATCATGGTTCGGGCAACGGCTCTTGGAATTCGGCGGCGGAAACTAATGTTCACACCTAATAAATATTATTATTAGCTTGATTATATATCTGGCCGTAATTATAGAACTTACAGTACAGTTCATAGATGTGTTTATTAATTCAGAACACAGCCGCATTATATGTACATAGTCAGCATACGTAATTGCTTATATATGCTTCGCAAAATTAGTATTCAGCTACAATTTTAGCTCTTTTTTTATCTAGTCAAACTTTTACACTCTTCTTTTTTTACCCTTCTTCCTTTTAGTCATGCTTAATTATCAAGTTATTTACTTGTTTCAATATTCTCACACATTGAAGTGTACAACTGATCAGGTTTGATCAGAACTAATTCAGTTTTTACTAACTCATCACCGTTTCGGATACACTTTTTGACTCACTCACTGATGAGTTGCGGGGGAGTAACGATGTGATGCAGAGGCAAAACGAATCACTTTATCTTTTTTTCAGTTAATTCATATAACCCAACTTTTTGGTTCCTCATTGTATTTGCAGGACAATTTGCAGGAGATTCCATGGCCTGGTCCTGATTGTGATAAACCTTTTCTTCAGATCGGTAGAAAGCACACGACAGTTCCGATGTGAAATACTACATTTGATGTGTTTCTCTGTTGGAATTCGGTACGTTCTAGGGAGATAAAAAGTAAATACTTAACTCATTTGATGAATGTTTCATAAAAGCTCGTCCGCATAGAGTTAACGGATGATATTATTTCACTCGACTTTCCTGTTCACAGTAGCTCGTTTCAATTGGGTCGTTTTCGAGTTTGTAGAGTATTGACGGCATTCCAACCGTGTCCATTCATTTCAAGTGCCTTGAACTCGGAGTAAGCCGAAGTAGAGGCACACGGATAATCTATGGTGCTCACTTGCGGAATAGAAGATCTACTATCCTAATAGTTGACGGATCCATGATTGGTATAACTCACAGAAAATGACGCTGATGGTATTATACGGATGACGCAGAAAAGCAAAACTAATGGATAATTTCTGCAGCAGGATGACGATCCAGTGCATGCATTAGGGATGCTGAAGACGGCATTTAGAAAGCAAGAGGTCAAAGCTTTCGGTTGACCGAATTGATTTCGAAAATATTCGCATGACAATACTTATGGAGAGAGTCATGGAACTAGTTTCAGTATGGAACACAATGCCGCTACTGTCGTCCAGAAGCTCATCAACTCAAAGGCACAGAGCTCATGATAGAAGCTGTCTTGAGTATTTCTCTCTGAAATGAACCTGTGATCCACAAGGATATTACGAGGGTAGAAAAACGCCTAGATGGGGCGGAATAAGGATCCTAAAACCGGTTTGGGCGGCGTTAACACCAAGGATGAAAAAAATCTTTCAGGGTTGTAAAGACCGGGGGTGCACCTGCACCTGGTCGCACAAGCTGTACGCAGGCAACTTAGAGTTGCCAACTGTACGCAACTGGTACACAAATTTGGTTGACTCGTCCGAGTACCTCCTGTGCGTTTGTCGTCTTATTCGTTTGTCGCGTTCAAGCCCTAATTTTGCTACTGTTTTGAAGCCTTACATTTCTACAAATACATAGACTCCTCCACTATTGCACCATTTAGAACTATTGCTTCCATTATTCGCTTCACCGGGGGAGCTCTGCTATCCCCATTTTTCATTGATCCGCTGTCAAACACTTTTTGAGATCAGTAGTCAAGTAAAGGCATCAGATGTCCTCTTAGCACCTGATATCCCATTCCTATGAGTCCGGCCACAATCATCCGAACACATCCGCTCAATACGCTTTATGAGAAACAAGGGAGAAATCGATAAGTTCAATATAAAAGCCTACTTTATTCGGATGGAGAGATTGGGAAGACGGACGAGTTGAGGTATTCGTTTCTCAACCTCTGCCTTTTTAATACTCTTCTTCCTTTTATCTCCTCTCATACTCCTTTTTCCCCACCAATTCGATCGCCCTTGGCTCTCAGGCATCGAAAACGAAGCGCTTATGATATAAACATAGATCATGGATATATAACAAAATGTTCTGATGTCTCAACTACATCAGGAGAGTGAAATGGGTGCGAATTATTCATACCCTCACAGGTAGTAGGGCTGTATAATGCCCCTGTTAGCCTATGTAAGGTTTTTCTCGCTTTAACAACCTGTAAAGCAATAGGTGGGACGTGATAGTTGTTTCGAGCGTCAAGTAGAATTGGCTGACTGACTTGAGGGTGCTATTCAGTGATGAGTCAAGGTCTCAGTAGGGGGACTTGAAAAGTTTCACTTCAGTCCAGTTCAACCAATATGGTAGCCCTGTTACTTATCTTATGAGGATAGAACGTCAAAAGCTGAAATATGTCAACTACGGTCTTCATTACTTTGAGTCCACATGGTCCTCTGTGAAACTGAAGCTCGTCTTCCATGGATCTCATACAACCACGGCTACAAAAAAAATTTGCTTCCAACATAGTGCAGAAGATTTGCTGAATAGGATTAGTTTAGATTGAGTTACTGAGGCCTCACTGAGTAATATGCAGTGGCGACGCTGTTGAAATCAACGAAATCCAAAAACTAGCTGCAGTGCCAGTACATTTTTCTTTCTCCTGATTGAATCTAATCCATGACGAACTATGCCGAACGGCATGCTTCATGGAATCATGGCTGGCTAATAGTTATGGAATGATTTATTTGTAAAGGGATCTGGCAAGTTCATTGAAACCTTCACATCGAAGTTGGACAGTTTCAGCTTTCACAGAAAAGCGTGCATGCTGACAGCGGAAATAGAATATCTGATTTTTGAAGGAAATTTGACAGCATAGCATCAAAAAGATGTCCAGTCAATTGATAGACAGCGGAAACAGAAATGTCAGCTCTGCAGATGAAGTACGTCATGTCAAATGTTGGGATCTGATGCCCTTCTACATAACATTAATAAGATGTGATGAAAGGAAGGAACAGTCAGGTCCTGCGTTGCATGATTACCTGACGAACATACAAGTAGGACGAATGTGAGCAAATGTTTACTAGTTATGGTAACTTAAGGTAGGAGGTGTAGGATAACGACAGTCAAAAATGTTAATCTTACCTGTCAGTTCGGAAAATGCCAAAATCAATCCTTGTGAAATGGGTAGTGTGAGCATTTTGAGGATTTTGAGAAAATGCAGCAGTACAAGACGAGCAAAAATTATGTGGTGAAATGTAAATGCAACAGAGAAAGGAACTTATGGGAAATTGAAACCGCCGAGTTCTATCCCGGCGACAATTGCGTGTAGGGAAGGGACTCATAATTTTGTACTGGGGTACAGGTCGAGGAATTCTTGACTCAGAATGATATTCCGAAGCTTGGACAATCAGTGTTGAATCAGATCACGTTTTTCTGAGCGCAAGCTTGTATTTGAAGCGTTTTTTGACGTACTAACGTTCTACAAGGGGCGGAGGTGGTGTAGTGGCAAGTGGCGCACCATATCACACGCAAGGTCAGGGGATCGAATCCCGGATCGATACCCGCGTAGGCCAACCAAGCATTCCATCCCTCCGGAGTTGGTTAATTAGTACCAGACTTGTCTGGGAGGATAAAAGCACTGACTTGTACATCGGCTGGCCACCGCAGTCATTGTAAAGGCCACATACGCACTCTTTTCGCCACTGCGGTCCTGAATGGAAGTCGAGTGCGGGGGCGCATCCCTCAGACGGGATTGATTAACGCCAAAAACTTTATCCTTTTTTTAAACGTTATACAGAAGTTATTCTGAAATGAATAATCACTCCGACTGAAAATATAACTAAGTTTGTTACTTATCTTATGGGCATATGTTTACATGAATAAAGAATCATGTCATCCTAAACCTCGTTCTTATGGTTAAACTCAGATTAGAAGTAAGTTTCCAATATGAAAGATCATTTTGTTCTATCGCTCGAAGAAAAATGCTCTGAAAATCAAAGTGCTTGAGACACTTGAATGAGAAGTAATTAGTTCTTTCAAAATGACTATCGTGGAAGGAGCCAATCTGGTGGTGGTGTTGGGCTTCTGCTGTCTCAACCTATAACTTTTCCGTGTTCCCATTCTTTACATGCGGGATGAAGGTTTTGTTGTTCGCATGAGCCTATTTATTGTCAATCTACTCTTACTACAGGGTCTACGTGGGTTTTATGTTTCATCAGTGTTTTCACGAGAAGTTGTTTATTGCAGTTTACAATCGGTAAGATAAAAAAGGTGCTTATTTCTTTCACAAATTGTTTTTTAAATTTCTGAACTTACCCCCGTACAGTTCAATCCCTTGTGTTTCACAATCAATGGCAGCAAGCAAAAAGAAATAGAGAGAAAAAAGTTGAGGAGCTTAATCTGGGCTGCGGAGAGGAGACATTGTGGGAGTCTTAATGGCATCAATTTTCCTTGAGTTCAATCAACTTCTGATGGAAATAGATCGAGTTTGCGCAAGAATTCCCCAAAAGCATTTGGAGTTACTATGCCAGTTTGGATGGCTCAATCTATTAATGATAAGTGAGAAAAACAGTACCGAAAGATTGCACTGACGGCGTTTCAAGTTACTTGGGCTCTCCATTCTTCAATCTGAATCCCTGTATAAGCTGGATTTATCTCTAATATTTCCACGGGGCAATCTTTTTCTCATTGCATCACTTTTTGTTCACTTACTTTTTGGCTCTTTCCGGGAAACCGACTGGCTTTCAAAGTTCGCCTTTTATCAACTTCATTAATCATTGCTTCTCCATGCTCTCCTTTGTGTCTATCAAAGCCGAGGTCTGCCGCTTTCATGCGCTGGTCATTTTTTTCGCTTTCGAATGGATTTTGATGCGTATGCCCTCAGGACGAGCTTCAATGGGCGGGGCTACGATTAGCATCTTATAACGACCCTCCTCCACCACCACCACCACCACCAAGAAGCGGGGCAGCGTCATTTCGTCAACGATGGAAGATGCTACACTATTCAGCTGCCCTATGCATCTTAACTAGTATTCCTTTGGTCCTTGCGAGTTATCCCTACTGCCCATGTGTGCCATTCAACACTACCGGTCGATTTCATTCACCTAACTATCCGGCAAACTTGGAAAACATTGATTGCCTCTTTTATCATTTTCAAGCTCCTCTTGGATCGATCGTCCAGATCACTTTCCGTTCATTTTCTTTGCCTGTGCGTAATCCAATGTAAGTTGTATTTCTCGCCAAGCTCTCTACTTTTCACTTTTGAGATGTAAATAGAATCTTTTTTAAATAGTAATATGAGGGAAATTTCATTCGGGAGGTCTCTCTTTTCCATAACAATCCACAATTCTGATTAAAGACACATTCCATGGCTTTCTTCGCCTTTTTAGTGACACAAATTGTTGATACGAAATAGTTTTCTGGTAATGAGAAAAGCGCGACTAATCCACAAAACCCCGGATGATTCTAGGGCCCTTCTTAAGCTGAGTGTTCCGGAGTTTGGGCGACATCATAACGTCGACAAAACGGACGACTATTGGGACGAGAATTCGTTAGCTATTCATTGTTCTCACGTCTATCAGCTGACCGCATAAAACAAATGTGCTCCATTGTGAATAAGATCAGCCTATTCTTTTGAGAATTCGTGTTCTGTTGTCCTGCCACCCACGCACATTATTTTGTTGTATTCGATTTCAACTGACGTGCTTTCCGGTGTATTTTCATCGAAAGCAGTGAGACCGGTAAACAGGCATAGGCTATAGCGGAATGGATAGGTCTCAACTACGACAGGGGAGGCGATTGGGAAAATTTGCAGGGCAAAAGATATGGGAATACTATCAATAAAATAGCGAGTAAGTGGGTAGTTTATATGATTAAACTGCTGTACTGTACACCACCATCAACTGAAAATAATACGAATGGGAGGGCAGCTGTAGGGGCAAACAGCAGGTGGAACTGTTTACAAACATCCAGTTCCTTATTGGGCTTGGAAAAAACTTTCCAAGGGATTATCGTCAAATATTCGTTATTCAACTTTCTATGACCACCATTTTCATGTCTTCGAATTCCAGTAAGCTAACATCTGCTTTTCATATTGTTAACAACCGAAGCATATGTTACTTTATGTTTCTACCAGATCCGTCATGGCCTCATTGCCATGATCGACAAGTGCTTGAACTTCTTTTCGCTCACATACCAAGGCTGTCTGCAAATCATATCTTTCTTCTCATATCAAGACAGAAAGGTCAAAAAGGTAGTGACAATCAGGGCCATCTAGATGAATATGGCATGGATGGATGCCTGCTGATAGTAGGAAACTTGTTCTGATCTTTTTTATTGTACATGCCCAACAACCGACTGGGCATTTGGAGAAGTTATCTCCTATACAAATCTTCATACTTTCCTTCTGTCATAAACACGCACAAATATGAGACGGGAGCGATGTGGAAAATTAGCTTTCGCCCATATGACAGGCCATCTCGCCCATGTAAACCGAGAATTCTATCCTTCGATATCAGGCTCGTCGGTGGGGCTCAGTAAGTAGTAGCGATTGAGGACAGCATTTCAATCTTGGTAGGAGTCATCTCAGGACAAGGTCCATCAGAACCCATTGCATTCTGTTTCCCAAGCCTTCATAGAACAGTATGATGAATGGAATCACTACAGAATTTATAAAAATTTCATTTGGTAGCTACGAGAAGCATATACCAGTATTCCGGCACTTCAGGGATTCCGCCAGTTTGGTGATTGATGTCCCCACCCACCACACTCCTTTCTGTGCTTTCAACTTTGACAACTTCTCTGCTCTATTTAGTACTTGATGCACTCTCTCCTACATTTTTGTTTGATTTCTCTCAAGACTTTCCGCTATGTACTTTTAGTCCGAGAGCTAAGCTATCTGTCAGAGGCTTTCCCAAAAGATGACTGGCTCGGTTAGTTCCATGAATTGTTGTGTTGTTTCCGAACAAAGTCTTTCAGTGGGCCGAAGAATTGTCCTGAAATTGATTAGTTTGACCCGCTATTGAATTAGACGGGACGTTGAAAATTTTTCGAGTGTAGGGCCCTCTCTTCGAAGGATTCATTGTTTTCGCCGATTCAATTGCCACCCGGCTCCACTCATGAGCTTGGCTTAATTGAATACAGAATAAAGGCATGAAAGAAGGTTAGCGGACTACAACGCCTCCGCAAAAGAACAATCTTCAGTGGTTTGTCCTTCAACTCATATACTTGTCCTTACAGTTTTAGCTACTAGATGATAAAGAAGTGGTCTTCAAGAAAAGGTAGAGACTGGAATGCGGTTGATTATTATTTTTCTGTGGTCAGCAGTGAATCAAAAAAGAGTTTGTCTCGTTTTGGGTTTTGTGATTAGTACTGCAATAAATTAGAAGGGACAATCATCTGATCGATGGCACGGAAAACCCTCTTCTTATGGACATCGCATAATATGCTGCGCAAATATGCGAAAATTGTCAAGCAAGGCCATCAAATTCATGTAATATATGAAGGATGAAGTGTTGGGCCATTAATCAATCTGTCTGGATACGCCCTCCATTCGACTTTCATCCAGAATCGCTGTAACGGTTTTTAACGCACGCGTAACATGTGCTAGTGGCCAGGCGATGTAGAAGATACTTCTATACTCGCAGATGAGTCTGACTTAAACGACCATGGTGGGACGGAAGGCTTGGTTAAACGACGCAAAATTATGGCTTGGTCCCACGCGGTCAAAAAAGGCTGCGGTCGCCAACGTGTTAACCAAGATACATATCGATCTGGGATTCGAACTCGTGACCATGAGTGTGTGGTGGTGCGCTCCTTGCCACTACACTTCTTCGCAATTAATCTAATAATTATGATTTCCCATTGCCTTAGTGCAAGAGCATTATGAACAATGGCCACATTTTACCATTTGGAGGCACAGATGACGGTAACCTTGAGGTATCTAGCTCAAGTGAAATAATGGAAGTTATGGATGCAGAATAGACGTAAATGACGAGGAAAGCGTGAGAATAGGCAAATTTCGACAAACATAAGCCCTCGAAAATGTGTTGAGAAGGGGGGGGGGGGGGNACACATTCAGGTGTGTACGTTGGCGGAGCATGTTTTGGTGTCCTTATAAGCCCTGTCGAAGTCGCTTCTCGCCACGACAATATCACATGTGTTATCCTTAGGGGTCACAATTTTATCCCGGGGGGTAATCTCAGAGACCATTTTCATCGTGAACTGTGCCTCTAAGATAGCAACGATCATCTTACGATCTTTTCTTCTGCATGCCACGATCTAGTCTGGATCTCCGTGAGACATTTCATGGACCACTCTATACTCAGCTGCGAATCATTCCTTTTTATGCATCACGTTAAGCTCGTAATGTGTAAGATTTTATGAGATTGATGGACGCTGACCAAAATGTTCGCCTTCCCCAAAACCATGACTGACCTGTGCCTTTCCATTTGCTTTCAAATTTGGGCCTATTATACTTTTGAACGGTCTCACTTACCTTGAGCCGGTGTTAGCTGATGTCAGCAGAGAATCGATGCGCCAGGACGCTTCGAAGATCATTGGCAGGTAATCTGAGTAACCAGTAAGCAAAAACAAAAGTTTCATGACTTTGATGTTTTTGTGCGCTGGTTTCTCAGATTACCTGTCATTTTTTACTGAGTAAAAGGGACGAAGCTGAAAATCAACAACAGCAACAAAATGCATAGTGAGAACCTAGGGTAACTAAAAGTTAGTAATCCAGACACATGGGCATTAACTCGTAGGAAGTTCGACGGGCAGACAAGTGAGCGAAGCTCAACTCGCTGATTGCTCGCTTCGAAAGATCCCGGCTATGTCTTTCTACTGCAGCTTCAAGTCTTGTTGCTATTTTGCACTGCCCATCGAGTTTGCGATATCGTTGTTCGCCATCTGAAACGATTAGCACGATGTTCGGGAAGCTTGGAGGGCCGAATTTAGCCCACCCACATGAGACGCTGTTAAGATAACTACTAGCAACTCTCCTATTTTGGCAATACAATCTCGTACAAAAGTGCAGCGGCACCACCTAACAGACCATCCCATTCTGCAGACTAGTGAAAGGAGTGTGGTTGAAGTGAGTGGAGAGTGTTGAGTGGAGGGTGCTCATCATTTCGGAGCTCTCCCTCCCTTAATGGTGCGCTATTTTTTCCCTGATGAGTTCAGTGCCGGGAATCATATTTCATGGAGCTGTGATGTAATTTACGCCAGTGAATGGGTGACTAATAACGGCATCGCTATCATCGTAGAAATACGACCAACGCAGGCTAAACAAGGAAGAAAAGTCTCACGTTTGGGCGAGACTTGTCCCTTGTCCCCTTTTCTGTTTCTCTCAGTTTGAACCAACGTACTATTAATGTAAAGGAAGAAGCTGCTTGAGTTGGGTCATCTGGTATGGATCACCTAGCAGCAATGACAAAAATTCAGTTCCTGTGTTTTACAATCTGTATCTTTCTAGTTTGTCTCGTTTTCAATTTGGCTCCACTTTCCCATACCAATGTAATGATTCTATCGTGTTGGATACCTCATTGATGATTGGGGAAGGAATAGGGAGAGGTGTTGATAAGTGGTAGGAACAAGTGACTGAAAGAAATATGGCCACAGAACCCTTGATCCAATTAACAGAAGAAAAAAATTGAAATATCGTGAGATGCGACAAAATTCTCTTGGAAAGTTGATCGAGTCCTGCATTGGATTTGAAAAGATAAATGAAAAAACAAAGATGACTGATATGTTAGTAGCCGAGTACTGAAGTAATTCTTATTTGCAGTTGTACGTCGTCGCTTCGGATTTTCGACAGTTCTCTAGACGGGCTGGTTGATCCAGAAGAGGAACCGAGTTTCACTTTCTGTGGCCACGAGATCGCCCCTGGAGCCACATTCTATTCTAGGTAGTTTGTCTACATCATAGAATATTTAAGGGGACAACCATTCACTACCATTAACGGCTACTAAGTTGGTGTTCACCTCTTAACCAGTACAACACTAAAATTTAGGTTTACGTGGCCAATGTTAGGTTATGCGGGAAGTATTTGACCGAACTTTTGCAATAGTCCAGGTTTCTCAAAACATTTCAGTGAGGTTTCTTCTAAGTGACATTCCATGGGTGAATGCTCGGTAACGTAACCAGCCACATTTTCCTTACTTATTCGGTCATCTCTCGACCGTTTACCCATACTCAACGCATACATCTTTGCAAGTGTAAAGCCGGCCACTACACTGCCAAAGCTCATAGGAACTTGAGTCTAAGTCTGTGAAGTGTTCTACTCTGAAACCCCTTCTGAGTGGTATGGGCGCCCCTGCTCCCAACGCTCCAACGCCCGCAACAGGGGTCTCGAAGATGAACCGCGACCTTGTCAAAGTGCATTTTCATCAAGATGATTAATACTGTATGTTTGATGCCCGTGAAACTTCTTTCGAGATGAGCTCTGACGGAATTTGAAGAACAGTAATAGCAATAACGGATAATCAGTATGATGATCAATCAACATTCGAAAAATACTGGAGTCGGGGAAGGTGTATGTGTGTGGTGAGAACTCAATACTATCCAGGTGGGGGAGGGAGAAAAATGACAGTGGTTGCTGTGTGACCGTTTTCAGTGGGTAGAGGCATTTTTCTTTCACCTCCCACAGCACGGCAGTGGCTTTAAGGCAATTACCGTCATTCACCACTGAAATTTCTAATCCTTTCCATCACTGCGCGGATTTTAAGTGTTCGGATGGGGCGAGTGCTGCGCGCGTTCGGATGGAAGAACAAACAACCATGGAATACATCATTGCAGTCACTTTATAGTGCAACAATGATGAGATTTGCAATCAAGGTGTAGGAACCCAAGCGAGTTGGAGGCCCAAACAACCGAGAACGAACAAAATGATCAATTGGGAAAGGTGATTGACGGGAGGAGTACGGGCAACTAGAGAAGAAAAATGCGAAGAGCTTGATTTTTTTGGTACTGATCAGCACAGCTTTTGAATACTTACGCGCAGTCGACATCCATTGGGTATCGTAGAGAGGATTGAATGCATACATGCCCTACCTCATCACTGCCTCTCTACTTAAAGAGTATATTGAAAAAGGATATTCATATGCAGGCATGAACATCTTCTCCTTCAAATCATACATGGTGATGCGTCATCGAAAGGGTTCATAGGAGACTATCGATTTCCATCCAAAGGTACCTTTATTTCTCAATCATTTATTTCACAATGTAATATAATTCCTCTCAGATAACTACCTCAATGACGGGATTGAAATAGCAGATTGTAGCTATAGAATTGAGAAAACGAAGGTAAGTGCAAATTTAGGAATGATTGTTGTTTCTTAACAGTTTCCTAAAGGTTGAATTGGAACGTGCAGAATTATGCACACCGTCGTGAACTTATCTATCGCTACAATTTCTATTCTACCATTAGCTTCCTATCTTCTCTTGTATGTATGTACTGGGGCTGCTCAAGGAAAAAGCGATCACTTGTGATCTTTTTGAGCTTCTGGAAAAGCTCATTACAGGATGAAGCCATCCATGATTTTTGGTGATCATGAGCATGGTAAGAAGGTGTACCCGGTCTACTTTATCTGGACCTACTGTTGATTTTCACATTTTCGTGAGCTCAGATTAGATAATGCTAAACCTGCTACACACTTCAGATGCATTGACCCTAGTCATTTTCGTCACTTCTCATCTGATATTATACGTCAATGTAGGTGAAGGTAATTTACTCGAGTAACCCAGCCAGGGTGAAGCTGCAGCGCTTTAGCAACTACATACCGTTGACGATGACAATGCACGCCCAAAGTTTGTTCGTACCAAGGGCACAAAACTTGTTGAACACAGAATAAGGACTGCAAGAACATAGCATGAAAATGTCGCTGGAAAGTCCTTCTTATATATTAGGTTGGAAGGAAAGTCCTGCGACAAAATGAAGGTCTACTTCAAATCATTCCTGAAATTTTCCAGGCCAATCAATTTCGGAAATATATTTACCAAACAGGTCAACAACATTCCATTATCCTTTGAGTAAATCACTGATGCCTTTTATTCAGGAGTGAGGAAGCTGTGACTGCCGTTCAGATCGCATTAAGCTACAATTTTTTTTCCATAACGGTGTGCTCAAGAAGGCGAAGTGCGTGGTAGGTAAAAGGGGCAACACTTATGGAGTACGACTGATGAACAACCTGGAACTAATTGGAATCGTAGAACTTTTGACGCGTGTTTAAAGCGAAATTTCGACTTGCGTTGTCCCTCCGTAGGGACGTGATTTACGGGTTTGATCGTCCTTCTCTAACCCCGTCGGCCAAATTTTGGTGTTCATAGGGGTAACCGATGGCTGTGTCCATCTAGTCTGCGTTTGGCAA